TTCTATATCTTGACTTGACAAAGAATTACAAAGTATACAAGTTTACACCCTCGTCCTTTTGGTCTCAGGTAAATAATTATCTCCCTGGCAATCACATCTCATCATCTTATTTTTATGCCCCACCTAGGGGCATTATGTTTTTCGGTCTGTGTGTCCGTTCATCCGTCTGTCCCGCTTCAGGTTAAAGTTTTTGGTCAAGGTAGTTTTTGATGAAGTTGAAGTCCAATCAACTTGAATCTTAGTACACATGTTCCCTATGATATGATCTTTCTAATTTTAATGACAAATTAGAGTTTTGACCCCAATTTCACGGTCCATTTAACATAGAAAATGATAGTGCGAGTGGGGCATCCGTGTACTATGGACACATTCTTATTATAATGTATACTAGCGGTGAATCCGTACGAGTGTGTATTTTACTGCTGGACTGATGTTACACCACGGTTCATTGCAGGATCAAGTAGGATTGGGAAGGTTTTAACAATCTACGGTAGGATTTAGATAGTTTGATTACTGAACAACACATAATAGAAAGTTAGGCCACAAAGTGAAGGAACAGACTGTATTTTGTTTTCTATTTCTTTATGAAAGTCCAATGGAACTAAGTAAAGTAAGAATGCTGTCATTTTATGCTGTCACACTCGCTCATGTAAACAGTCAATATATTCAAAATATGATCCTTCAATATTTACCTACTATAACTGATGGTTATAAGTTAAAATTGTCATCACAGCCCCCAGTATTCAAATAGATATAAGAAGACTTGGTATGAGTGCCAATGAGACAACTCTCCATCCAAGTCAAAATTTATAAAAGTAAACCATTATAGGTCAAAGTACGGTCTTCAACACGGAGCCTTGGCTCACACCGAACACCAAGCTATAAAGGGCCCCAAAAATTACTGGTGTAAAACCATTCAAACGGAAAAACCAACAGTCTAATCTATATAAAAAACGAGAAACTCTGTTTAATAGCATTTCAATAAACATCACACATTTCCTTTGACAAAACTTTAGCTGCTACCTGAAATTAGTATACTAACAGGAATAGACTCTCCAAGTACACATGTTCTAGTATATCTCCATGGTTAGCAAAAATACATATAAAGTTCAGAATTTAAATTTACACTTCATGGGCAAACATTTCTACATAGGCAATACATTGTTGCTTTTATCCTGTACTTTCTAAAGTGTTATTCTCCTGTCATGATAAAACAAATGTTTTACTAGCCAATGAAGAGAAATTGATTATTTGTTAATGTGATTTACGAGTTGGTGCACTTTATAACATGTGTATCATAACACATAAAGCATTATTCTCTCAAGTAGGTTGGTTCTTTGTCTGTTAAATGGATGTATTTATGTACTGTTATACATCTAATGATTGTTTTCTGGCTATTTATTATGGGATATAATGTATTTGAACTATACATTCAGACAATGCTCTTGTTTACAAGATTTGAAATGTTTGCTTCTTTTTGTTTTGACTATAATTTAATAGTTGTTTTATTTCTCTGGTATTCTTTTGAATTATTTTGAATTTTGTAATTTGAAGTAGGTAACTCTCCCCAATGCACATTTGAAAATATGTGTCACGATGTATTTGTTTATGATTGTTTTCTTGGATTAGACTAGAGTAAATAAAATTGAGAATGGAAATGGGGAATGTGTCAAAGAGACAACAACCCGACCACAGAACAGACAACAGCAGAAGGCCACCAACAGGTCTTCAATGCAGCGAGAAATTCCCGCACCCGGAGGCGTCCTTCAGCTGGCCCCTAAACAAATATATATACTAGTTCAGTGATAATGAACGCCATACTAAACTCCAAATTGTACACAAGAAACTAAAATTAAAAATAATACAAGACTAACAAAGGCTAGAGGCTCCTGACTTGGGACAATGCATGCTAAATTAGTATATGATCTATTTATTATCCCAAATAAAGTGCAGTGTATTTACTTATTCCAATCAGAACAACAACAGGGCTGAAATCATACATGAGAAATATTTGCCACTGGACATTTAACAAATGGTAATCAGTCAATCATATTAATCAGGCCTTTAATTGTCTCTTTTGAATTGTTTCAGGTTTTGCTTTTTAAGGCCTTTTATTGCTTAGCATACAGTATGACTTTTGCTCATCACCACATTTTATCATATTCATATGATATTGTTATTTTCAAAAGTATAGCATCTTCGTTTTTTTTTTTATTTTTTTTTTTTTTTATGTATTTTAAGGGGGAGGAGATTTTGTGAAACTTGGCAGACCATGATTTTTTTTGTTTGAATTTTTTTATATGCTTGTCATTTTGGGGTCTTTCGTAGCCTACTATATGGTACGAGTTTTGCCCATTGTTGAAAGCTGTACTGCCACCTTTAGTTGCTAATCCCTTACATCATTTGGTCTCTGGTGGAGAGTTGTCTCATTTGCAACCATACCACAATCTTCATATTTTTATATATATTGTGGAATCAGTAATGCTTCTAGAGAATAATTTTAAAAGACTTGTGTTATGTAATAGGCTTAAGGACTGGCATTTTGACATTTTGTTCAGTAATGAAGTTTTCATTCTGTGTTAAATCTAACATAAAGAAGTAGTATCTTTTCAACAGCTTTCGATCTTGTTGCAGAGAGACATGTTAAAAGTACTAATCTTCCCACTAATGCTTAATGTAATGAGTTTATATAGTTTTGTAATAGATGACAAAGTTTATATCTTTGGCAGAAATCTTTATTGGGTGTACCATGGCCATATTTAATCTATTTTTAGTGTTTTTCTATTTGGAATTAGACTAAGAAATGGATGTAGTAGGTGTTTTATGCATTTCTGATGCTTCTCCATACCCATTCATTGGAAAATTTCAAATAGATTATGTACAAAGAAAAACAGATAAGTCATGGAAAATCACCAGTGCATCAAAGACACAGAGAGAGAATTGGAAAAGCTGTTTTATGTTCGCTGATGCAGAAATTAATTAAGTTTTAACAGATTCTGCCCAAACTAAAAGCTTTTCTTTGTTTGAGTTTATTTGAACCTGGTTAACAATGCTTTTGTCAATTTTTTTTAATACTGACAAATTATTTTTAAATATTTATTTTCATTTCATGGATTAGTACATTATAGATGTTTAAGTATTGTGTGATCTTTTATGAACAACTGGCTGTTAAATCAAAAGTACAATTGGTTTTAACCTATATATGTTATGGACTAAGCAGTTTATTTGCAGAGGTGGATTTGGGGGGTGGGGGTGAAAATTACTGGATCCTCCACTGATTTGTGTCAGAGGTGGGGAAAAAACATTTATACTTAATTTCTGCTTTGAGGCAGAAAAAAGAGGGTTGGAAGGTATGTCAAATTGTTAGGGGGTTTTTTATGCCCCCGTCGAGTGGCGGTGGGCATTAACTTTTTAATATTTTACCTAGACTAAAAAGGGAAATCTTAAATTATGCTTAATAAAAAAATTTCTAGACTTAAAAGTGCTTTTAATACCAAGTATGTCCATAAAATATGTTAAGGTAGGCAAGCAAATTTTGGGTAAATAATGGGTGGCAGGAAAGACAAAGATAAAAAAAAATGCTTTTTTTAGTTATTGCCCTTGTACCTTTGATAGATAAAATATGTGCAACGTGGAGGACATTGGAACTCTGTTCTTTTATTTATTTTTGTGTTACAAGATAACATTTCTGAACCCATCGTATGACAGAAATTTGATACTTTTCAAAATCTCAATAGTTAGTATAGTTAGAATGAGTAAATACAGTTCTTTACACAATATAACATGGTACTGGGATAATACTTTGTACTTCAGTATTTTCTAGCATTATGTAAAGTAAAAAGAAATTGTTGAACTGAAAGTAGCTTTTAATAGAAAATTCAAAAGTAACTGCTGTGTTAATTTTATTTGAAAATCTAGCCAGAAGTAAACCCCAATACCTAATTTGAAATAATTTTGAAAATATCTAATTATTTTTTCTCATCAAAAGTCAGGGAAGCTCAACCTGTAATAGTGAAAAACCAATTAAAGCACCAGTTGGGACATAATGTATTTGGTAGTTTGTAATTAACTCTTTGTTTGATTGGACTTTATTCCTCGGTTTTCATCAGTACCGTCATGCTTCAGCATCACAACTACAAATATAGTTTGTATTTCAAATTCAACAAAACAAACCCATTGATTTTTGTCCGTAAATGGAAATAAGAAGGGTCGTAGTTAATGAGATGTCATTAAAATTTTAACGGATGGGAGACAAATCTGGTGAATAAATAATTTCCGTCGTGTAATTAGCGGAGCAATATTGTTAGTATTGTTTAATTGATCACAGTGACAGTTGTTATTGAATATTTTTGTTATGCCACATAGCTATTATACAAAACAATCTACTGGTGATGCATGCTGGGACTGTGGTTTCCATTTGAGTACTCGTAATCAATGCCAAATAACAGTTTTGTTCATACATGCAGCTTGTGTATTGAATTTTCTATAGACAATTACATAATTTGAATCATTGCTTGATCTGAGAAATTGGATAATCTTTGTCAGTTTCAATTTTCTTTTTTTTTTTATCTAAGTTCTACCGTGAAAGCAGATATTGCTGAGTTTGATATAAGCTACATGTAGTTTGGAAGTAGTGGAAAGGCCTACTATATTATTGTTGAATCAACTATAAGTGCTTTCCACTGAGACAATCTATTATTGTTTTAACACCTTTGAATCCACTCCCTTAAAACAGTCTTTTAAAGTTGAAACAACTATTGTAAATAGCCCCCCCCCTCTTTGCCTCCTGCTATTTATCAAGCTATGATAGTTCTATCCTGGATATGTCCATGATAAAAGATGTATGTGTCATATCCTAAATAGAAAAGAGTTATTTCACTTCACTAGAGAATGGTCAGCCATAATCTCTCCTCTTGCCTGTGTCATAAAATTGCTCAAAGGTTTTGGTCTATCCATGCATATTGTACGTGAAGTATTCAATCTTATCTTTTTCTTTTCAGATTTCCCTATTATTTGACAACGTATCACAGAAACCAAGAGGATATGCCTTTATTGAGTATGAGCATGAAAGGGATATGCATGGTGAGTTTGAACACTTTACAAAATGTCAGAATTGATCAGAGCAATTTATAATCTTGAGATTCAGTGGTATCTAGTTATTTGTTTTGGAGACTTTGTAGCAAGTTATATATTTCTCCAAAATAAACCACAGAATCATAGAGACATCTCAGACTAACCATTAGGAGAGTTGCAACAAAATGCACACACAAAAAAAACGATAAAAGAAATTTCCATGTATGATGTGTATTGCTCTGATTACTGGCAGTTATAAGTAAAGAGAAGATGAGTATCATTACTTTATGTATGATTCAATAATCTTGACATTTATCTTAGTTGTTCAACTGTTTAATGATGAATGAAAAAAGGCACTTAAACATTTGCCAAATAATGTTACAAGCTACTTCCATATATATTCATAAATATTTATGTTTGCAAAGTAAGGGGAAAAAATATGAGAGACAGATTTTGATACATGTATCATTTTCCTTCTTTTGATTAGTACTGTTTGGTATTTATGGATATATATGAAACACAATATAATGTATCGTTTGTCTAAATGATATTTTCTTTGATGAGGTACATTTTTAGTTTCACAACACTAGATATTTTTTGTTATTTATGCATAATTTTCAGCTCATTACAATGACAGTTAGCCATATAATGACATCTAATAGGATATAATGTTTAGAGAAAAAAAGTTGGATGTACTGTAGGTTGAGAATTAATTAAGAAAATATGTTGACGATACTGTAGTTTAGCCTCCTTTTGAAATGATATGATTATATACATTTTGTACTAGGTGGACTTATGATAAATTATGGACTGAGAAAATTATATAATAATTAGCCTTTTGATGTTTATATGTTTTTAGGTTAATTTCATTCTAACTACAGGACTTCTGAGGTTAATATTTTATAATACTCTTGTGTTTAAAAATATAATTACATGACAAATTATGATTAAATGCAGGAATTTCTAAATAAAAAAGCATCTTTTCTCTTAGTGTGAGAAGGAAGGGGTTTAATTTTAAATTATTTAACATTTTTGATGCTAAAAAAATTTTTAAACTACAATTGAATAGATTTGTGTGATTATTGATCATTAATAAAAAATGAAAAAAAAAAATATTAAATACATAACTAATTTTTCCAGTAATAAAATTTGTCTGAAAGGCTTAAATTAATCAGAATTTTTTTAAATATTCTAATCAAAATAATTAACTAATCAAAGTACTTATTGCCTTAAATTTCAAATAGACTTGATATTTATTCTCAAAAATAGTATAATAAATCTTTAAAATTTTTCAGCGGTGACTTTTTTTGTCATTACTCACAAATTTGAATATTTCCTCTAACTACAATAGCTTACCTGAAAAAAAAAGAATTGCAATCGAAAACCTCCAACTACCGGTAATTTGCATGAAATGATATTTAAAAATTGTTTGGTAAGTAAAATTGGTATTTGTGTTTTTGGTAAGTACAAAAAGGGGGGAGTGGAAAATTGTTTGGCATACTAACATATCTCTTCTTATTTCTTCCTTCAGATCAATGAGAACAAAATGGCTGATCTGCCATCTTTGTTCACAGTCGTGTGAATGTTTGAAATTATTGCTGGCCATAATAGGTTTGTATGGAAGTGGTAAGACAATGATTTGTCCCCATTCCATTCAAAGAAAAAAGTTTTTAGGGTCCTCTTGACAATAGATAATTCCTTGTAGTTTATGAAATAAACATTGTATACAATTGGGTAATTTTAGAATAAACATTGTATACAATTTAGATTTTTTGTTAGCTCCAAAGTTGGCTTAATATAGAAGAACACACAGTTCTTGGGAAGAATTTTGCCCTTTTTTAAATTTTAGAAATTATTAAACACCCCTCTTCCCAATGTTTTTTGTTTGTTTGTTATTATTTTTTCAAAAAAAGTATTAAAAATCAGGTAAGAAATTTTTTGATTGGGTTTAAATTCAGGTAAGAAATTCAATTAAAAAAATATACAAAAATACTAAATTCAGGTAAGAAAAAAATATTTTAAAATTCAGGTAAGGAGTTAAAAAAAATTAAAGGTTTACCCGGGTAAGTTAAAAAAAATAAAGAGAAAATGACATCAAGAAATGTCGGAGACCAATTGGCTCCAGATTTGAAGACCCCAGTCAGCTGTGTCAGTGATGGCACCTTCCTTGGTCTGGAAATTTCAACATTGGGTTTGTTTTCCTTGTAAGTTTACTGTCAGTATTGTTTTGTAAATTTGTGATTTGGATTTTTTTTTACATGAATCAGATTTTGCCAATTTTAATCATTTGATAAAACACAAAATTTTTATTCCCCTTGTGGTAGGTATGTGAACCCCCAAAAACATTTGGTCAGAATTTTCAAAAAACAATAATAGATATTAATTATTGAATTATTAATGACATGATTTGTTTTCCAGGTAAGTTGCAGATGAAGAATTGAACTAATATAACAGATTAAATGCAGAATGAATTCTGATAGAAATTTTTTTCTAAAGATTATTTTTATTTTTTACACCTGGTCTTGAAGTACTGGTTTGAGATAGTTGAAATATGTCATTATGATTATGAAAAGATCAGGGTGTATATCTATAAGACAGCAACCTAGTAGTATGTTTTAAGATTTAGTAACTTACTTTTTAAGATAAAAATCAATAGGGTTTTACATTACATTTGCAATTCATAGGGTGGACTTTCAAAATACAATTTTAGTATTCTAAGTATAAGAATACGGGCTCATTGAGTGTGGAAAAGGAAATTTATCATAAGGACCTAAGGTGTATTTGCACTTTGTTGTGCTTAATCCCTTTTTTTTTGTCTCATCCCTTTGTCAATATAAAAAAACATTTGATGTAAGGGTTCTGAATCAGTAGTCAAAAAAGTAGGAAAAGACAGAATTCATTCTGCAATTAGTCTACAATAATTTTCTTTCAGCTGCTGTTTAAAATTATTCTTAAGCACTTCATAAGTTAAGCTAATCTCAGTTAATCAATTTCAGAGCGTTTTAGATTCTAGCAATGAAGGTGCGAAACTGTAAAATTACTGTTTGACTAGCAGCGTTTACAACCTTGATTACATGGAAATTGTCTAAATGGAAGGAATTTATAGTTATATTTGGATTATTAAATTGTAATGATATTGATTTCCAAATAAAACATGTAACCGAAGGTTTGGTCTGCTTTCCAACAGTGATTTATATAAAACAGAATGGCAAATATGTTAAAATGACTGCTTAACTTATGAAATGGTCGCTATTCACAGCAAAAATGCTCCAAACATACCAGAGGACATTTTGCATTATGCCTTTCTATTGATTTGGCACATAGGACATATACTCATGTGTGTGCCGGGATACCAAATCACAAGTTAAGTTGTATTCAAGTTTCTTGTCTCTGCTAATGTAGGACAAGAAGCCTGCCAGATTTTCTGGTTCCTTGATCATGAACGACAGGGAAACAGACAGAGCACATCAAGTCATAATGCAAGAAGTCCTTTCATAAAACAATTTATCAGTTCTTTTCTGGCTAAAGTGTTGTCTTTTCATTTTTCATTGAAAAGCTTTCAGTACATTGAAGTCTATCATTTAAATTATTTAACCTGCATTGTTGCTTGGTATCAGAGTAAATTTTTGCTCAGCTAAAATGTCTACACTACATATGAAAAGAACTGACAAATTGTGAAAATAGTTGGAGCAGTTTTGCTATAAAATTGTAAATTTAAATCAAGTTTTCAGTGTATTCATTTTGCACTTTATTTTTGTTTTTGTATCTAGCGGCCTACAAGCATGCTGATGGTAAAAAGATAGATGGTAGACGTGTTTTGGTCGATGTCGAGCGAGGGCGTACTGTTAAAGGCTGGAGACCTAGACGACTTGGTAAGTAATCATTTTGATAACAGATGCTTTGCCTAGATTTATCTGCTTTTATGGCAAGACAGGTCTTTTTATGTCAAATAATTTTATTTATAAATTCTTGATCGATAGCACAGGTTTAGTACAGTAGAAGAAAGTCAACTGATAAGTGAAATTGTCTTTGAATTTACTAGTAGATATATACAGGAAACATCTTTATATACCCCACCTGCCTATATGCACTGGACTTCTATATGATTTTAAAATACTGGGGTTTTATGACAAACAACCAGTGGCAGATTAGAAGATGTGTCCATGATAATTTTTCCTGAATTTTTATGTAATGATTTCCACTAAAAGTACTACTACCTTTGTGCAATTTAATGATTAATCCCATAGGCTCTTCCTGTAGTTTGGGATTGCTCATAGCACCAGCCAAAATGGGCCATTAGAAATTAGATCAATCTTTGACTAGCTACTAGTATCATTTCATTTACAAATGCCCCCAAATTCTGCTAAGGCACTCATTCACAATAAGTATTCTCTGATTCATGTTCACTGAAAGAATTCTGCTGACAAATAACAGTGAGTCCAAAGAGTTTATTTAAAAAAAGTTTGACCAATTCTGCTTAAGCACTCGTTCACAATAAGGGCACTCTGATTCATGTTTGCTCAAAGAAGTCTGCTGACAAATGACAGTGAATCCAGAGAATTCATTTCAAAATTAACTTTATTGTACCTAAAATAGTATAATAAAAGTACACATGTTTTGTATATGGTAATTGAAAACTTGTCCCATCTATAGACATATAGATACATTGTCTGTCATTAACCAAATTAATTCTGTGTCTTCTCTATTGTCAATAACAGAGAACCTTTGTCTGTAATTCCATGTTTTCATTGCAGAGTAGTCGTGGCATAATTACGTATATCTCTAAAATGAGGTATGACAAGTGAGGATTGTAGTCCAATATTGGTTTAATTGCAGGTGGGGGAGTTCAGACTGTTTAAAGTGGAGATGGTTGTTAATTTCAGAGTCCTATTCAAATTGTTACATAACCATAGCTCATCAAGTTTTAATGAATAATTATTTTATAGTTGCTTCCCAGGAGTCCAAATTGCATGATACTGAAGCATAGATTATTTCAGTCTAATCTTTTTTTAAAGAGTAAAAGTCAATTTTTGTTATTCTCAAAACATTGACTGTCTGCAGTCATACTACCCTCTAAGCATTGTGTAGTCATACTATCCTATGAACACTGACTATCTGTAGTCATAATACCGCTACCCTCTAAAAAGTCATACTACTGCTGCCTTCTAAACAGTCATACTACCCTCTGAACATTGACTATTATCAGTCATACTACCCTCTAAGCATTGTGTAGTCATACTATCCTCTGAACAGTTTATCTGTAGTCATACTACCGCTACCCTCTAAACATTGACTATTATCAGTCATACTACTCTCTAAGCATTGTGTAGTCATACTATCCTCTGAACACTGACTATCTGTAGTCATAATACCGCTACCCTCTAAACAGTCATACTACCCTCTAAACATCGACTATTATCAGTCATACTACCCTCTAAGCATTGTGTAGTCATACTATCCTCTGAACACTGACTATCTGTAATCATACTACTTCTACCCTCTAAAAAGTCATACTACCGCTACCCTCAAAACAGTCATACTACCCTCTAAACATTGACTATTATCAGTCATACTACCCTCTAAGCATTGTGTAGTCATACTATCCTCTGAACACTGACTATCAGTAGTCATACTACCGCTACCCTCTAAACAGTCATACTACTCTCTAAACATTGACTATTATCAGTCATACTACCCTTTAAGCATTGTGTAGTCATACTATCCTCTGAACACTGACTATCTGTAGTCATAATACCGCTACCCTCTAAACAGTCATACTACCCTCTAAACATCGACTATTATCAGTCATACTACCCTCTAAGCATTGTGTAGTCATACTATCCTCTGAACACTGACTATCTGCAGCCATACTACCGCTACCCTCTAAACAGCCACACTACCCCTACCCTCTAAACATTGACTATTATCAGTCATACTAATGTGGATTTATTATTAATCGTTGGATACCAAAAACAGACAATTAAAAAGAATAGTGAATAATGTGGTACTGAAATATAAAGAATAGAAAATAATTAACAAAATAAATTAAGAATAGAGAAAAATGGTCTAAAAGATTAAAGAAAAAAGAAATGAAGGACCCCCATCCAGACCATCCCATGTGTTTGGCTCTTTTTGGATTTTTCATGTAGACTTTGATATAATGTAAATTTTTGAGCTCTACCCAGTGATATTATTAAAGAAAGTGCAGTCTGAGTGAAACGATTGATAGGATGGAGCATGGGGTTATTATGTAATATTCTGAAGAGATGGGGGAGTAGATTTATAGATAATTGTCCTCTGGAAAATCTCTATTAAAGCACTGCCACTGTAATGATCAAATGCATGTTCTATTCTTGTCACATAATTGACTGGTTTTACCAACATTTCAAATTATAGGCTAATTTGAAGACAATTGAATTTCCTTTTGAGAAACTGCTGCAATTCATTTACAGCCTCCAACTTATTTTTATGGGCTACAAATATGACATGCTTTCATTGAGAAATAAGTCAAACAAATCTCACCTTTCCTGACCAAAATTTAATTATGAATCAGAATGATGGGACTTTGCTTTTAGAACATCATGTGTGACACTTTCATATCTAAACCCCTCTCACTTAAAATACAATAGAAATTTTGTATGTAAGTAGCTTTAATATGATGAGACCTTGTCAGTGAATCATTGTCATATTATATGGACCTCCTTTGTTCATTCTTCAGCTTCAGAACTGGGCTTACAGTTGTCAAACTTTTAAGTATGATCATCATGGTCAGACTCAGAATTCAACCAATCAAAATACCTGATTTGGTGTTTCCAGCAAAACAAATGTACTCTGAGTACAGAGTGACGTTTTATGACCTAAATGCTTGGGAAAATGTTTTCTTATAAAGTCACACTTGTTAGGTGTGGACCTCCTTGTTAACTTTTTGGTCAGGGTAAGTTTTTGAGGTTGGGTCTGTTTCTCAGTAACTCATAATGATGGTTAAAAGCATTTAGTAACTGGAATTTTTTTGTGTAAGGAGTATATATCTGTCTTTATTGCCTGGTATGACACAATGAGATGTCAATTGACCTTGTCAATCCTAAATTATTTTAATCCAATGGTCAAGTAAATATTTCTTTGATAAAGTCAGTTTTTTCGGAAACTGCACATTTCAGTTATTTTGATTGGGTATGACTAAATGTTTAGAGAAACCACTGTACAGTAAAGTCTTGTAATCTGATAAATATTTTTTAAAACAGATGGTCATGGGATGTTCATCAATTCTCTTGGATTACAGGGACTGACCTAGAACAAATATTTAGAGGCTGATAATTTGAAATCAAAGACTATTGTATTGTGTCAGTTTTTCCTTTAGAAAACAGATGCCCTGAATGCTGTTTACTCAGGGGCAAAACGATTGTTATGATTGTTCTATTTCTGTCTTGACATGCATTCTTCAGGTAATGAGAGAATCTGTTTGTAAAGTTTGTATTTAAAGCTGTCTATTTGTATAGTTTTAGCCTCATTACCTGGAAAGAGAATAAACATAAACAATGTTGGAACGTCATATTTAATTGGCCATAAACAGATGAAAAAGGAATTTTGATTGGAGGAGAAATTTTGGAACAGCCATTCTGGTTTTAGAACTTTCTATATGTGTATTCACAGTTTATTTTTTATGGATGGAAAACAAATTTAGTTGTGAAAATTTTAGGTTGCCACCAACAAACTGTTAAAACAAATTTTCCATGAAAATTCCACAAATGACATTAATATTTTATGGAAAGTTAAAGTATATTGACAGCTTATTTTGGTCATTGTTATCCTCTATAATAGATCAACATTAGTTGAAAAAGTTAAAAAATAGCAGAGTTTCTTGGCCGACCACAATGACAGAAGTATAACAGTATTACTTTGAATACATTTTGTGCCATCTATATATACAGTTGGAAAACATTTAGGTTAATTTCCTGTAAATTTTCTCAGATGATTAGGTTTAGTGGCCTGATGATCCCTATTCCTTTTGAAGTATTTCATAATCCAGATTAGTTGGACTTTTATTTTACCAAAAATGTGGGTAATTTCCCTGTCAATACTAAATTTGAATATATGTATACCGGTAATGAAGAACAATTATTGATGAGGTTCCTGATCATAGTCGGAGGGGTCTATAGTTATTATCATTATTGATATTTAATATAGTCAGCGCAAAGAACATTTTGATGTGCCTGAAGAGAAAAATACATGACAATATTCAAGTCAATGTTGTTTCCTAATTTTAGTGAAAAGAACGCTGTAAATTAATTTCCATCATGCAATGTTACAAGCTATAAAGATCAAAAGCATTGTAGTGGCTAAAACTTGGTGTATAACTTACCGTGCGACACATCAGCATAGTTTATTGAACATCGCTCAACAAGAGAAGTCCCAACACAAAATTATCACAGATTCCAAATTTTCTTTGACCAGAGATTGGTTTTCACAAAAATGTCACAGAAAAAGTTTGCAACTACATATACAGAAATGTTATGATTTCCACCTTTGATATATGACCATTTATCTATCTTCGCTAGAAAAGTAATTAATTTGGATTTTCGGCATCAGAATTTTGATTTGAATTCATGAAGGTTGTAATATGATGGTATTGGTCTATCAGACTGCTTTTCTGACATAGAATGTCATATTTTGATTTTCTGCTCTGATTTCTCTTCAAAAGAATCCTGCAATTTATTGAGTTCTTTCATCTAAGATTAAAAAAAAATAACATTCCTTGTTTTTTTTCTTCAAATTAGTTTGCAGAATTTTGCATCAGATTGGAATGGAACATTAAACAATTTTTACAGTCAACAACAAACTGTATAAAATTTCCAGTCCATCAGTCTCGTTTCAT